TTGGGTTTCCCGGCTAGGAAGAGAGCAAAGACAATTGAACACATATTCTTGCAATGCCCAACGACAATCTTGACCTGGCGGTGGTGGGATAGAGTGTGGCAACAAATGGTCCCGGGCCACCTATGGCCGTGGGACTGGCGGGCCATTCTTATGGGCCACTATCCACCCTTTCAAGACAACACCTTTGTGTCGAACATGTTTTACTTGTCTTGAAGAACGATCCTGTGGGTTATGTGGTGGCAACGCTGTGTCCTTACTTTAGACCAAGTCTGGGTAGAGGGAGAAGAGAGACTAGAACAAATCAAATCACATTTTCAACTAGAGCTTTCGTATAGGTGGAAGTTAACTAAGCAAACACTTGACAATTTCGAAAGATCTAAAGACATCCGGGAACGGTTACTACAGTTTTCACATGAATGGTTGGGCGGGGACAGAGAAGGATGGGTAGCAGAAGTATGCTGGACTGGGGACTGGGAAGGAGAACAGGGAAGGGAGGATAGACAAGGAGAGGTGGTCCCAAGGGACTACCATCTGTGTTTCAAGGAATGGCTTGTGGTTGACTCGAATATCCCCATGAGACCGACAAAGGATTTTCCGGACCCCTTCCCCCCCCACCCGAGGTCTTTAGAAATACGTTTGTAAACTCCTTATATCCTCTGAACCCAATCTGCAGTCTTATTTCTTCAGGCGGCTAAGCCTCCATTTCTGTTTTTTCCATCTACTCTTGTCCCACTCTGTCTCATTCTGTCTTGTCTGTGTCATAACCTGCAGCATGACGCGGTAAGGGTGGGTGGCAGTTTTTTTACTGTTTAGAAGTTTGTCTTAGTCGGTCCTGTAACCAGCATCATGACGAAGTGAGGGCGGGTGGTAGGGTTTGAATGATCAGAGGTTTTCAAGAGTTCTTAGGGGATGGGCAGAGTGATGGAAGGAGGTTCCACTGGTGCCCTCCAGTGGCTCCTCCCAGAACTCTGACCTGATAAAGGGCTGGAGAAGACGATGGGGACCGAATGTTTCTCAGACCCATTGGTTGGGTCATACCTACCTGCTCAGTCAATCCTCTGGTCTCCAGAGTAATCAATGCTGGCAGGCACCTTCTAGACAGTCATCCTGTTACTGGTCTATGGTTCATGTTGTACTCTATCATATAAGGGACGCTGGACCCGTTTTCCAGCAGGTGCTGCTACTCACCAATAGATGGAGCCGTGATGTCTTAAAAAAAAAAAAAGGGTCCTTGAGAACAGCTCTAGGCGGAAGCGTGAACCAGTTTCGGAAGACCAGTTGGAAATTCTTCTTGAGAGGTCCCTCTGTCTCTGCTGCCTCTGACCATTTCACCTCCCCCAAGGACAGCTCTATTGGTTCTCCCAGCCAGTCTTTTGTGAAATTCTGAATTGTCTGTTTTATGTCTTTTTTTTGTGAATTTATCCAATTTCTCCTTGGTAATCTTCCAATGGGCTATGATTTCTGTCTGGACAAATTGTACTATGTAATCTCCCCATTCCACACCCTCCAGGGTCACCTCTTCTCTCTCACGAACACAACGTTTATACCACAAGGACCATAGGATAGCTTTGCGTCCAATATCAAAGAGGTTAGATTGAAAAAAAGTGGGTGTGAACATTAGGAGGATCCTAATGCCCAAAAAGGATAGTCCTCCGTTCCCAAGGTCAGTCCAATCCTATGAGTCCCCTCCAAACACAATCCCAACGTCTCCAGATTAGCACAGCTCCTCGACATTGCAGGAAAATATGCTCTATAGTTTCACACAATTTTCTACTTGGAAATACAGACAGACAAGTTTTACACCAAGGAAGTGTTATTCCTTGCTGCTCCTGTGTATAGTGATCCACAATCCAATCGTTAGTGGGCAGACATCGATGGATGATCTGCCATTGTAAAGAAGAGAATTTCGCTGGACGTTGTCTAATATTTTTGAAAAGTTTAATGTGTTTGATCAGATTTATATCAATGTTTAGATGCCTCACCCATCTCTTCTGAACAACTGCCATAATGTCATTTTTTGGTCTAAGCAGTCTGTAGGTTGCTTGCACTATTAAAGCTTGTAACAATCGCGGTTTCCCTCTCTCACTAGATTGCCACCGCCATTCTACCAGATGTAAAGGTAATTTTGGAATAGGCATCTCTAGATGAAAAGCTTTCCAGCCTTTGATTGTCAAAATGAATAACACTCTAATACGATAGATGTGAGAGAAAGGAAAGAAGGTAACTGTGTCCAAAGGACATGGTGACAAAAAATGGTCTCTGTCCATTTTGTGGATACTCACTAAAGACCCGTGAGGCAGAAGGTGAACAATCTGTCCCACCCTCAATTGTCCATTATGATCATCAAATCCCATTACCCAATCTGCTTCTTCAAACTTCGGTCCTTTCGTCAAGGCTCGTTTCCGGGCTAACGGAATTGAGATGATAATTTATTCCAGAGTAAGTGACCGACGATGAGCATAGCATAGAGTCAATCTCAACTTTTCAGCCCTTTTCCAATTCTTGGTTTCTGAATCCCAAAGATCCTTGATTCTCAATACCCCCTTTTTACCCACAAGGACCACGGTGGCTTTGAGCTATTGAAGACACACCCGTTAGGATCCGCGATCCAGTGATTACCAAATAGAGGTTGGTGCATTACTTCCTCATATCTCGAGGGAAAAGGTATGTTGGGTAATGGAAGCCTACGCCATATTTTCATAAGTGTTGACCAGAGGTTATCTAGCATCAGATCTGATCTCGCCGCCCCTCTTATACCTCGTTCACTGGACTATGTCTGGGCTCTAGGTATGATCCCATATCTATCTTCCAACCACGTTAGAGGATGTATTTCCTCTGATGTTGTAGGGGCCAGCCTCCTAATCTGTTCCAAAACCAAAGGCAACCACTGCTTGTCTGTGGATAAGATTAATTTTTTCATCCATTGCAATGCAAGGGCTTGTGATTGAAAAGTGGGGTTCAAAACCCCCAAACCTCCTCTGGTTTTAGGTTGAATTAGTGAGAGCCAGGCTACTCTGGGGATGGCTTTCCTTCACTGATGATTGCCTCTCCAAAGAAATGTTGAGATTTGCCTCTGAAGAGTTTTCATATGCATTTTACCCATGGACCAGAGCCCTGATTTGTACCATATTGAAGCTAATACAACATTATTGATTAATAGGGCTCTTCCAATAAGTGAGGTGTGTTGGTTCTTCCATTGATTCATTTTTTCAAGAGCCGGCCTTGCTATGCATTCGTCATTATTTGTAGGTTTGCCTGTAGCTGTCAAAACCACACCAAGTATCCTGATTGGTGCCTCCAAAGGGACCCAATGGACTCTTTTTTTTTTTTTTTTTTTTTTGTAGAGGTCGGTTTCTGGACTCACGACAGGTACCTATCGACAGTCAGCAACTAATTTATGGGACCCAGACCATCCTATCTTGGAGGATCCCCCTCAGACAGCCCCTACTGCAGGTTCCCCAACGATTTCCTCCACCAGAGTCTGTCTGCTAACACCCCTCCTACCGGTATCCCTTAAGACAATCCCCTACTGTAGGTTCCCCACCGATATCCTCCAGCACAGCTTGTCCCAAGCCAACCCTCCCCCCAAACGGGACCCCATCGCACCCCAGGTCCTTGCCCTAGGCTGTTCAGGAGGGCGAACCCATCAGCAGTTTTTTTTCTGACAACTGCTGAATGGGTTTTCCAGAGGCCAAGTCTAGAGTAAATGGACCCATGCCGTACTCTCGAATTTTCGGGAGTCTTGCGTAGTTGTGGAGTGAGACCCACAAGAATCCTTTCTTTTTTTTTAATGGGCGATGAAGTTCTCCTCTGGTTTGTTTTTTTGTTTCTTGTCATTTTTCTTTGATTTGGAGCTGTTCAGAAGCCGAAAACGGCATTTCCCCCCTCTCATGACAGCAGTGGACTGCACCGGCTTAGCCCAACGGAAATATCTGCCCGAGCATTAAGTTGGGGAGGAGGGGGGACGACGTACCTTTTGGCTGGGGTGGCACATGAGTGGAAACAATAGCCTCCTTTTCGCTCCCATCTGCTGGCAGCATGTCCAGAACTTCAGTTTCACAGAGAGAGGCCAGTACCGCCGGAACCTTCATTTTTTTATTAAAGGCCTGCACTGCAGATTGTGGGTTCAGCAAAATGCATTTTTTGGTTTGTCAATTTAGCTTCCGATGGACTGGTGGTTTCCAAGCCATTTTTTCAGAGTCGGAGCGAGGATGCAGCCGCAATCTGGGTAAGTACCTGGGCACTGTGTCGTAGGATATCCATCCACAGGCAAAACGGGGCTCGCATGCCATCCGTTTTTGGCCTGGATGGATGAGTGCCGCGAAACGGCACCCCGGCACTTCCCGAGAGTTGCGGCAGTATGCATGCACAAGCAAGTGATTACGGTGCAGCAATTACAAACAACATGCAGCAAGATTGTTCACCTATGAATATAGCTAGGGGTACATGCTCTTATCATTACCCCTAGCTGTGTCTTATGGGTGCTAAACCAAAAAAAAAAAAAAAAAAAAAAAAAAAAAAAAAAAAAAAAAAAAAAAAAAAAAAAAAAAAAAAAAAAGAAAGAAAAAAGAAAAAGAAAAAAGATTGTTCATCCGATATGAACACAGTGACAGAAACCCATTGTCAAGGCCATGCAAGGACCAGACTCCCAGCCAAAAAGGGGAACAAAAAATCGAAAAAATGATAAAAATCCGAAAAAAAAACTATGTTATGCAGAAAAATTAACTAAACGACTCTTGCTTGAGGGTCACATCGAGATTCTTTACCAAATTTCAAATGGAAAAAAAAACACTGTTTTTAAAGTTTTTACTGTTTTTTATTTTTTTGAGTTCTTTTTGGCCCGGCCGGGCAAGTTGTCCTGGGCCACTCTGGCAGTCTAGTTTGTATTTCTTTTTGTTTTATTTTACAAATAAATGTATTGCCAAGATGCAAACTTTGATAAATTTGAAATTGGCTGTCTTCTGTGTCCTTCAAATTACATGTGTAAATGTTTTCCTCAGGTATGCAAATGACGAGCTAACCAAGCGGACCCGCGATTGGAAGGAATGCTTCGACTTTGGCCCAACATATTATCCAGATCTGCCCGATGATCATGAGAGCAATCTGTCTCAGGATGGGTTTAATCAATGGCCGGAAGGCCGCCCCAAGTTCAAGTGAGTTTTCCCTGAGTCAGGGCTGGTGTCTTCCCTCTCCTCTTACGAACAACCCCATCCCCCGCCCCC